CAAAAAATTTGCAATTTTTTTCGCAAAACTTGTGCAATTCGTTTCCTTATGTCAAAGGCTTTCCAAAAAGCAAAATTTTATCAAAATCTGACAAGTGAAAATGGGTCAAAACACAGATTTAGTTTGCTACAGGAAAAAGCAGTCATTCAGGCAGTGTGCCTGAGAACTCAGGCAGTTAGTATTAAAGCTTATTAAAGCCTAAAACGGCCTAAAGAGAGGGCTTTGGGTATGTAGGAAAAGTCAGAAAATTTCAACAGCCTCAGACCAATACTTTTTGAGTTATGTAAAAAAAAATAAGGGGGGGGGTCAAATTGACCCCCCCCCCCAGCAGGAATAGGGTTAAGGAGGAATAAGTCAATGTTTCTTTATATTAACCGTTTTATCTAATATTAAACTTACAGCCTAAAAGGGACAGACTGGCTATGCAAGGTAGATAAACTGAGTATGCAGTGTTGGGGACAAATTCTTTAGGATTCATTTGAGACATATAGAACTTTTTTAAAGATCTGTAAATCCTGAGTTTCAGCATAAAGTCGACGTTCAAAATCGTTCTTTTGGGTGGATACATTTTCAGAATTTTGGAAACAAAATTCTACAGTAAACTAAATAGGTGTTCAGGAACAGATTAAGAAAATAAAAATTAACTCTTATCATCGAAAATTACTAATCTTGTTCAATTATTAGTTTCTATTTTCTCATTTTTCTAGTTTCTCATTTTTCAAAAAGATTTTCTGCAGATTGTCTGGAATCATTATTGAAAAGGCGACATTTGAAGAATTTGAAGAAATCTGGGAATAAATTCATAGAAAATAAGAAATTCCATATAATGATGAAAAAGTAAATAATTAATTCTAACTTCGATTTATTAACAAATTCTTTTGAGAAATGTGTTTCTAAACATTTATTTAGTTTACTGTATAAATTTTACTTTATTTTTCGTCGTCGTTATTTAATAATCTAAAAAAAAAAGATTCTGAAGACGTACCTACCCAAATTCATGATTTTGAACGTCGACTATGCACTCAAACTCAGTAGTTATACATCGTGGAAACGTTTTATATGTCTCAAATGAATCCTAAAGAATTTGTCCACAACGCTGCATACCCGGTTTAACTACCTTACAAAGCCGGTCTGTCCCTTTAACCATTTTGCATCTTTCTCATGTATGTTTCTGCAGCGCTTTCAGTTTCTATATTTCCAGAGATTTTAAGACTTTTAAATGTTCATTGTGCAGCACAGCGTTAGGCACAAAGAATGAGACTTAACATTCAGAGACGCCTGTACACAAACCTTTTAGAGTCTCAATTCTTATAATCATTTGTGCAGCAATGAACTTGTTTTTTTTCTTTCAAAGACAATAAGTTCATCATTTGGGGTCTATTTACAAAGTTAGCAACAAAATTCAAAATTCAGAGTTCCAGGTCGTCATTAAAGAACCCTGGAGCTGAATCAGAGGCACTAAATCAGTTTGTTTACTCTCATGTTCAATGAAATATCATTTAATCATTCTCTTTTATTCCCATCTACAACCCCCCCTCCCTCCTTCTTGCTTTTGCCGACTCATCTAATCGACTAATGTGCTGCATAATCATAACAGAAGGTAGAAACAGGAAATTCTTCTTTTCCTGTCTGTAAGATGGGGTTAGAAACAGAAAATTATTTTGATCCTGTTTAAAAGAGGTTAAAAACACGATATTTTTTTGTTATTTAATAGAATATATGATTCAAAACAGGATATTCTTTGTTCATGTTTTGGTATTATTAGAAATAGGAAATTTGCTGTTTTAGAGACAGCAGAATCTTCTGTTCCTGTTTATGAATAGGTTTAACCAGAGGTTTCTTCTGTTCCTGTTATGTAAGAGGTTAGAAACAGGAGACTATTTAAATCTTGTGTTGGAATAGGTTAGAAACAGGAGAATCATCTGTTCCTGTTTATGAATTTTGAATGCTTGTTTTGGCATTGATTAAAAACAGGAGATTCTTTTGAATCTGTTACTGTTTTGGTAAATATTAAAAGCAGGAAATTTTCTCTTTCTAGTTTAGTATGAGTAAACAGGAGGTTTACTGTTTTTTTGTTTGTTTAAGGATTAAAACAGGAGATTCGTTAGTTCCTGTTTTGAAAATAGCAAAAACAGTTCCTTATTCTAATCTTGTTTTGAATTATATTAGAATCAGTTTATTCCACTGTTTCTGTTTTGTAACAGGCTTAAAACAGATTCGGAAAGGGTTATAAATCTAAATCTACCGATCTGTTTGGAATCTGGATCTTATGAAGCGATTTTACATTAATGTCAGTGAAATACAATAAATTGAGAAGCATTGCAGACATAGAGCAAAGGTGCGGTACTTGGACTACGATCAAACAGAATATACTAAATTTCAAGAATCACTCTTCCCTTCCCCCCCCTCATCTGCTCTTTCATGAATACCAAAGAAGCATCTTCGTTATACTAAGTTAGTCTTTAGTGCTTAACTCTTTTGTTTAACCCTACCCCCCCTCCCCTCCCCCGACATATTCTGAATATCAATGCATCCTCGTTCCATTTTTTAATCCCCCCCCCCTTGTGCTCTCGACAAAGAAGCGTCAACAACTAGGTATTTGAAGGCCAACAACCATTCTTTACAGGCTCAAAACATCAAAATATTTTTCCAGAGTAGAAATATTTATAAATAAATTTGATCGATGAATAACAAAAATTTATTTCGTGGGCGAATGATATTAAATGCATGCGTTACACATATCTTTTAAAATTTTAATTTTTTATCTTTATAAAGATTTAAAATTTTGCATTGATGTGTAACGTAAAAGACATTGAATAAATCTGTATATAACAAGAAAAATGAAATACTAACAGTTTTTTTCTCTCACAGCATACATATGCAAGCCACTTTTACACAGAATCTCAATTTAATATAGAAAAGAGGAATATCTTATCACTTTTACTCAGACTAAGGGTTTAAGTTTACCGTTGTGAATTATGATATCATGAGTATAGAATAAGATAAGTATTTGTTCTGTTGAGATCTAGGATTAACAATAGAATTCCTTTCAATTATTAAATTAAATTTCAAGACTCTTCAATCCCATCATCACCATTGCAATCAAACTTCATGCCACTCCTTGGAGACTTAAACGGAACTTGAAGCAACATCGCTATTGATATTTTTCTTAAAACTACAATGCGTTCAGTATTTTAGAAGTTGTGGATGCAAAAGGGCATTTGAGGTAGGATAAATGTGGTGGGGGGGAAGATGATAAGGAAGGGGGGGGGGGGTAAAGGGAAGGGGAAGGAGGAGTGTTCGGGAAAAAGAGGTTAAGTAAGGTTAGAAAGAAGCTTGCAAGTCGGATGAACTTCAAAGCCAAGAAGTCAGTAAGAAAAATATTTTTAAAAATATAAGGAATTCATAAAATGCATGTGCAGAACTAACTGTACAGATAGAAGAATACGGATAACAGGGAAGGAGGAGGGAAAAGGGAAAAAGGATAAAACACAAGGATTAAATAGGACAATAGAATCCAGTAGAATGTTTACAAATTTAAAACAATAAAAAATAAATAAGTTTAGAATATTATTAAGGAAAATAGGGAAGACCAGTAAAGAATAAGAAAGTTTAAGAAAAGATTAAGGAAAATAGGAAATACCAGTGAAGAATAAGAAAGTTTAGGGAAAGATTAAGGAAAATAGGGATGACCATTAAAGAATAAGAAAGTTTAAGATAAGATTAAGGAAAATAGGAAATACCAGTGAAAAAAGGAATATATAATGAATAAGGAAGATATGATAAATAACGGAGAAAAAAGTAGAGTTAGGAAAAAATGAAGATTACTGGAGAATAAGGGTAGATAATGAATCATGAGGGTTAGGTGGTAGGAGGTAATAAAATAGTAGCAGGAGAGGTTTTTAAAATAAAAATTATTTTTCAGTGAAAAAGGGTGAAAAGGGGTGAAGAAAGGGGGGGAAGGAGGCTTGAAGAGCGGATAGATAGAGGATAGAGGGGGGGGGGTAATTATAATGTTTTCTGAGAATTCTGACTTAGGAAGGAAGAAGAAAGGAAATGGTTTTAATTGTTAGCGTTACTCTTTCCTTCCTCTCTCCAAATATAAGATGATAATCATAATTTAAGATACCAAAATACATTTATGAGAGATTAAGAATATTGAAACCAATGAATTATACTCATATTATTTACTTCTCTGTTTGGGTGCAGATTAAAGTGAATTGGATTGCATCTATGGCTTTAAAAGGATTTGATTAGGGTTAGATGAGAATATAACTTGTTTTGGATGCTATTAAAGTTTTTTAAAGGATGGGAATGGGATGGGATACTTTAGAAGTTTTTGAAAGAATGAGAAGTAATAACTGGATGAAATGAATATGAATGATGGGATGAATAAAATGGATGGAATGAATAAGGTATACAATGGTATTATGAGGGGACTAAGGGGGCAATAGGACGGCTGAATAGAACTAATCATTTTTAAAGGGACTGTTATCAAATTCTGAAAGGAGGTACAGGTCGATTTATGAATAGACTGAGGTGATCAGAATTTGCTTCATGTCCAAAGTTTCTTTCGAATTAGAGGAAGCCCATTTCAACAGATTCAAAAATAAACTGTTCGTTAAGTGTTCAACATTTTACCAATTTTTGAATTGTAATGTAGCTGCTGAACAGTGGACACACTTTAAACATGACAGGTTGAACTTCTTAAATCTAAATATAAGTCTAGGAATCCTAGAATTACATTCAGATTCGATACATGAAAATTTCGACTCAACTCTAATGTGCTTTCCTTAATTCACATCACATGAAAATTTAGGAACAAACACTTTCCAATCCTTGTATATTTGAAAATTGACTGTAAAATATTTGATCTACAAAAATTCCTAATTTTGGTTCCAGTTACAAAGATATACTTTAATCCGTAAAGATGGTAATTTTAGAACAAATTTTTATCATTTAGAAGCAAAATTAAATATTTGTAATTTCTCTTATTTCAGGTTTGTTTGTGATGACTCTGACCGGCGCGCAGGTTCGGCCTCGGAACTTTAGTCCAGACGCTCTTCCAGAAACTAGCTTTACCTGCGAGGACAAGGTCGAATACTTTTAAAAATTTTAAAAGTTAACTCTACTACCAATTGACTTTTGGCAACAAACTTAATCTTTCTAATCCTAATATCTCTACAACCTTTGATATTTTAACACTATCACGATTGTGGTTTCTTCTGAATAATTAAAAAAAATGGCTTACATTACATTAGAATGAAAAAACTTCTTAACTTTTTCAACATCAAAGTTGTGAACAAATGTTGGAAACATTTTTTTTGATGCATAGAGTAGGTTAGAGGAAGGTAAAATGGCGGGTCAGTGTTTCAAAGAAATCAGAAATGGTTCATAACTTTTTAACTATTTTAGCTACAGGCTAAGGCTTATATATTTTTTAAAAGCCCTTGAAAAATGGATATAATAACATGTGCCATATGTTAATATTTGTTAAAAGTAAAAATAACCAATTTTGAAAATTTTTTCGTCATACTTTTAAAACTTTTTAAAAATCCTCTCTTACACATAGCCATCACAGTTAGAGGTCTAATATTTTTTTTATGAGCAGGCCTTGAATAGGGACATGTATCACACTCCCCTATCTCTACCCTAAGGGCAAAATCATAGGGGGGGGGATAGAAAACACCCCCCCCCCTCAATATATATTAGACAAAAATAGCCCAATTGTGATAGGGTTAGACTTAAAACTATTTGATTTAATATAATTCATATTATGAAATATCTCGATTATCTGGGTTGCAAAGAAATAGGGATTTAAGAAATCAGATTTTGTGACAAAAACATGGTTTAAAAGGGCACATTCGGTAGTTAGTAGGCAGTAGGCACCTTAAAAGCATTAGTTTAAATTGAACTTTTTTTTAATAGTTCATTTATCAAAGAAGTTTTGTTGGATGTTTTTTTTATCCCTTAAAGTTTAGCATTGTAGTTAAAAAATTTAATCTTGTTTTTTTTTATATCAGGGTTTTAAACCCCTGTAGAATCTTACAAAACCTTACGCAGAATCTGTTTTTGTTTGGAACCCATATAGGATCAGGTTTTTGAACCTCTGTAGGATCTAGTAAAGGAACCCCTGTTTGATCAGGTTATGGAACCCTATCAAAATATCTGATTTTGGAACCCCTGTAGGATCCGAAAACGGAACCCCTGTAGGATCCGGTAACGGAACCCCTGTAGGATCCGTAAACGGAACCTCTGTAGAATCCGGTAATGGAACCCCTGTAGGATCCGGAAACGGAACCCCTGTAGGATCCGGTAACGGAACCCCCTTTAAGATCCAATACGGAACCCCTGTAGGATCCGGTAACGGAACCCCCTTTAAGATCCAGTACGGAACCCCTGTAGGATCTGGTAACGGAACCCCTGTAGGATCCGGTAATGGAACCCCTGTAAGATCCGATAACGGAACCCCTGTAGGATCCAGTAACGGGACCGCTGAAGGATCTAGTAAAGGAACCCTTGTTTGATCTGATTTTTTAACCCCTGTAGGACTGATTTTGGAATCTCTGTAGGATCTGAAAATGGAACCCCTGTTGAATCTGGGGAAAATCCATGTAGAGCTGATTGTGTCATCCGTGTAGGGTCTGGTTTTTTGATCCCTGTAGGATCTCGTTTAAAACCCCTATAGGATCTGGTTTTGGAACCTCTGTAGGATCTGAAAAAGGAACCCCTGTAGGATCTGGTAAAGGAACACCTTTAGGATATGGTTTTGGAACCTTTTTATAGGATCTGGGTTTGGAACCCCTGTAGGGTCTTATTGTGAAACCCTGTAGGATCTTGTTGTGGAACCCCTGTAGGATCTTATTTTGGAACCCCTGTAGGATCTTGTTGTGGAACCCCTGTAGGATCTTGCTGTAAAACCCCTGTAGGATCTTGTTGTGAAACCCCTGTAGGATCTTGTTGTGGAACCCCTGTAGGATCTTGTTGTGGAACCCCTGTAGGATCTTGTTGTGAAACCCCTGTAGGATCTTGTTGTGAAACCCCTGTAGGATCTTGTTGTGGAACCCCTGTAGGATCTTGTTGTGGAACCC